CATTTATATCGTTATTAATTCATATTTTTTTGTTTTCTATATACCTATTTTAAATGTATAGCTGCTATTAATATTATACGTTATTAATGTGTATGTAGGTATATCGTCATACAGGTTGTTTGAGCTTTGTTGCGATTGTCGAGAAGATATTGGTTTCTTATGATGTTTGTTTTGGTTTTAATGATATGCAACACCGACAAAGGAAAATAGCTAATATTGACGTTGACGGCGAATTAAAAACCTAAACACTAACGTTTGTTTTGAAGGATGCGTTAGACGATTTGCATTGTTGAAAAGTGTTAAACAAATTTATATTACTTATGAAATTACTCGTGTTCCGCTTTGTCTCGTCAATGCTTACAAAGTTTTGATGTGGTTTCCTCATAAGTTGAATGAAATATTGAATAAAATATTAAAAACAATTGTTTTTAATAGTAACATAATAATAAACTGTTAACAAGCCTTTCGTTGTAGAAAACAAAATCTTATTCTATTTTATTAAAGAAAGTGGTAAATACAGTAAGACAATTAATTAAGTGTTTGAGATGTGCAGTTGTTCAAGAGAATGCCAATTAGAAATTGAAAATAATGTGGCTGATAGAATCAGAAGGCGATCAGATGTATTGTGTGACAGCATGTATCCTTTAGGGGGAAAGGTATAAATTTATACAGATTTGGAATGTAAGAATCAGATCTGCAGACGATGATGTAAAGAGATGATAATGTTGGGAATTAAATAAGAGAAAAAAAATCTAAAATGAGGAATTGGAGAGGTAGTTTGTGAGTAGCACTAATAGCAAGAAAAATAAGAGAGAATAAACTTGGATGTTTAGGGTATGTGAAAACAAGGAGAAAATTAAATTTTGAAAGAAGTAAGTTAGAGTGAATACATTTTGAAGTAGTATTATATAAAATAAAAAGTAGGTGGATAATCAAAGTTTAGAAACTTAGAGTAGTGTGGAGAAGGAATAAAAATGGTGTCGAATGGAGAGAAATGCAGAGAGAGGATTTAAGGTTATTTTTTTGTGGTTCAACTTTAGGATTTAACAGTTGAAAATGAGTCTGAAGATAAATATAAAATCTAGATATATAAAAAAAATCTGTTGTCAAATATTTGTTTTATCATGAAAAAAAACCCAGAAAGTGACACAAAATACTAAAAATGTGGATTTTGATGACTACCACGGGTGACAAGCTTGAATTACAATTTTAAAAACATTTGACCATTTAAAAAAAAAATCACCTCATTTAGGAAAATGTGTTGCAAATCTGTGGATGCTGGGCCCCACATTGGTGATTATATTGGTTCAGACTGTGCTGATTTAGACTGTACTTGATTTCTTTTTATATATAAGCCTTATTTTATGTAAATTTTAATTGTCACAGTAATATGTAACTAAATTGATAACATTTTAAACAACAAAATCATTATTATATACTTTTTTATCAGTACTGAAATTTAACTCCTTATGACACATATATTATTATACAATATACACCTACGCCTTAGTGAATTTAACATATATATATATTTAATATATCCAGATGTATTTTTACGACTAATGGGTAGGTACCATTGTATAAGTTAAATATTGAAATGTGCGTGCGAATTTCTTATCGAACCTTTTATACTAATAATTAATTAGTTTAAACCGCATACCATATATTATTAGAGTCTGCCGTGTATGTGATTTGTTGATTATAAATCTTACACATACGCAGAAAGTTCTTAGCTTTGAGCAAACTTTCTAGCGACAAAGGTATAATGGTCACTGCGTCCCGATTCCTAGTGAACTTTCGTACGTTCCAGAATACCTATACATAATAATAAATCTGCTCGGTTGCCGCGTGTAAAGTATTTAACATAATAATACATATCAACAGCACTCACACGCACGTTTAGTGTTTTGGAACTTTCTGCACTTGCGGCTCTGGATAAAAGCTAAAAACATTGTTATAGTAAGACGTTTTGTCATAATAATATATTCTGTGTGTTTTCTAGACAATAATTAACGTTAACGGTTTACCGTTGGAAAGTAACGTGAAATACGATAAACAACCAAAACCGAATAAAAAATTTCAAACTTTTAAACTTACTATTGAAAATCAAACCTTAGGATTGTCGAGATTGTCATCGTGATAAAACCGTCAATGAATATTTACATATAATTTCAGCGCCAGCACATCCCTTTATAATTCAACCTCGATGTAAACGTCAACCGTGTACTCAATAATCACATCGCAGTTAACGAAGCGAGTACCAAAGGATTTAGCCCACGTTAGTATTACAGTATTATTATGCAGTACAGATTTTATGATTTATTAGTGATCACTGTTACTACATAAAACCTGTTCTCTCTTTGAAATTAGCCGTTTTACATACGCCGGTATTTAAATTAGGTTTTATCATAATAGATTTTAGCATACCGTGTTAAAATAACACCCACCGTTTACATAATATTATGTTTGTGTTAACTGTTTGCAGAACTGACTAAGGCAAAATTCCAAGAGTATTTTATGCAGATAAATGTACGTTTAAAAGAAAAGTAGGTGATGTATATTTTATTGTTCACGATTGTGCACAAGTGTAAGATTTACTATATTCTCTTTAATAACCGTTCGCATAGATAAGATTATAGTTCACAGGATTCTGTCCAGCGGTTATAGTGCAAATAAATCAGAAAACAAAGTAATACAACGTTGTAAAATCAAATACATTGTTAACTTTACATCAGAGTTAAAAAAAGTAGCAAAGTTCACATAATGTACAAAATTAAAAAAAAAAATTGTTTACCCTAGATATGGTTTACTATGCCGTGTGACAGCCGAACTACCTGCAAAGATATATTATTACTTGAATTAATGTTACTACATTAATGGTCTCTTAATGGTACCGAATGACACAATCGAAATGTACAATACTACAGCACACTATCCTATTGTTATATAACGACTACACTGTACAAGAACAACCATCGACGTAGTTCTCAGCCATGAATTAGGTTTATTACAATCTCTCAGCTCGAATGCGGCATATTTTAGCACGCTGCTTGATTGTGTATCGGTGTATAAGCATTACAATAATTAATTACCAAAATGTAATTTCGACCCGAATACAAATAAGACTATTTGGAAAAACATAAGTTTTACGCGGGCATGCAAACTTATTAAGAAGATTTGATATTTCTATTCAAAATCACCGAAAAAGGACAATTCTGAATTTTGAAGATTTTTACCGCTGGAATTTTGATACAGTTTTCAAATGAAAAACCAAAATATATTGTCAATTTTTTACCATTGATTGACCAAAATAAAAGTTGAATCAACACTTTTTAGTAACAACTTTGTTTTTTTTTGTTGTATTTTCTAACTATAATATAATTATTCCTATTTATATAAATATTCATCTCGTCATAGTAGTGCCAACCTATCAGCTGAACTCCAGAAATAGTTTTTACACAAGATAGTCTTAATATTAAATTCTTAACTTACAATTTTAAATCCAAAAAATCGACTTCCAGTAAATCATACCTACTTATTAAACTTGGACTCGCGTACAGTATACAGAGTTATTATAATAAACTCGGTATTCACTTTTGTCAAAAGGGTAATAAATAAACACAAAATCCTTATTGTATATATGAGATTAAAATTATTTACAAATTTTAATATTTCAAATAAAATTATTTATTTAATATTACTTTTTAACAACAGCGTTTTGATCGATCCCTCTTGTATAATACCTATACATACCTTGAAGTTTTTGGGCCTTTTTTTAAAACTAAAATTAAAATACCGCTTGCGCTGAGGTACTATACTAAATGATTAATTATTAACGTCTTTTCGAGTGGAAAATAATTGAATTTTTTTAAGGTCGCTAACGGTCACAGAAATGCAAATATTAAACTTATATTATAAAAATAAATATATGTGGTATAGTATATAATGTACACTAGTAGTATATGTGCTATGGAGTTGGTGTACATATTCATTTACCGTACTAAGTAAACTACAAAACGCTATTAAAAATTATCTTATTATTACTCACAATATATACTCACAACACAACTATGAAGGCTTTCAAGTTTCAGTTATACTTAGATTAACTTTACTCATTCGGTCGAAAAACATTAAATAATTTATAACAAAATTCGTCAAAGGCACTAGGACGTTGAATACGGTTATTACTCGTATTTGTAGGCTTACGGGCCTGGCTATTCCAAGTATTTTATGTGGTATTAAAGTTTATATGTGCGTAGCTCTTTATTTTTTATTGTCTTCTCTTCTTCTTCTGACTAATAATATTGTTCAAAAAGATAAAAAATTACAAAAACAAGTTACATTAGTAAATTAATTAATATAGATGAAAAATGGGTATAGAGTTTTCGATGAAAACCTGTTAAGAGTTCAAAAGAAAATATATGTTGTTCGACGTAAGTACCTTAGGAAAAAATATAGAAAGAAAAGGCATCTAAATGGCAAATACCAATTATAAAATTAAAATATATTAAATTTCTAACGGGGTGGACTGTTTTTGATGAATTATTCTTAACGGACTTATAAATGTATAATACAAATGTATGTATTTTTAAATTCGATGGAAAACTGAGATAGTATTAATTGTTTAGTGATTTTTTATTTTATAATATTGAAAGAAACCGGCTATTTTTATTATACTTGTTAGGTTATTACTCGTATTTGTAGGCTTACGGGCCTGGCTATTCCAAGTATTTTATGTGGTATTAAAGTTTATATGTGCGTAGCTCTTTATTTTTTATTGTTTTCTCTTCTTCTTCTGACTAATAATATTGTTCAAAAAAGATAAAAAAATTACAAAAACAAGTTATGGTAATAGGTTTTTAAAAACATGGATAGCTTTTTTATGTTTTATAGTAAATGCAATATTTTATAATTAAATGCCAATAGTCGTGCTAAATGACTACATTTAAAATGTAATTAACAGTCAACATTTTACAATAACAATGTTGTTAATGTTTTAGAGCTTATGGTCGAATACTGTGCGTATGCTGCCCACGAAAAGTCCGAAGAAAATATCGGACACCGCACCGGTACAGGTCCAGTCAAGTGAGTATATTTTCTTATATGTTGCTATTCATAAAATTTGATAAATCAATTTACAAACCACACAATATATGTAATGCCTAGTCTAAACATTTAAAATAATTGTTAAAAACTGGTCCATTAGTTAAAAAGTTATGCAGAATGTAATAACACAAATAAATTAAGAAACACATCAATCTAGATTAAAGCTAAGTAAAATGGGAGGAAATTGATAACTATTAATGTAAAACTCATCTGACCATTTCCTCTTAATTGTACAAGTGTCGGAAATGTATTTTTTTGGAAATTTAGTTATTTATAGCTATTATATTATAGCTATTATTTTATAGTTTTTTACACATGTTGTACAAGTGTGGGAAGCCAAATATTTCTATTTATGCTGCTAGAAGTCAGATCAAGCTCATTAAATACAATATGAATAATGGTAGTGTATTATACATTTTCAAAGGTCGTGACTGTAAACGTATAAAAAGAAATACATCAATGCACTTCGTGTATTTCTTAACGTGAATGAACTGTCTAATTAAATCAAATTTTAATAAAAATTTCCACTGGAGTATAAAAGTTCAAAATTTAGCAAGGGGGTAAAGTTGGAGTGTAGAATTAATTTTATCGGCACTTCACTTCCCTTCCTAAGTTCTAAACTTTAATAAGGTAATCAAAATACAATCATAATGTATTCATAATGTGGATGAGCCTACACGGTTTTATAGGCCAAAATTAAATTTTGTCTTTACAATCGATTATTTATATCTGCATGCGTGCTTGTTTTATAAATATTTGAATTTGTATTTGTATTTTTAATCTTGTAGTTCACAAATTATAAGGGACGTAACTAAGTGTTTTAAAAAGGTCAACAGGGACGCAAGTAGGTCCCTTTCTGGACCTTTTATGATCGGACTTAATGATAATAACTTGGGTCGCAAGTACAGTATGCAGCCGTTTGTACTATAGCTAAGGCGAAGTAGAAGATGGGGAATAATAGAGTAAGCGGTGAGAAACCGCACGGAAATGCAATAACTATGAAAAATTAATATTATGATAGTAACTACGACGATTTATTTATTGTACAATATACCCAATCAATAATTAATATTAATTTTATTTTTAAGATTCAATTCACATCAAGGTATTGCGCGCATTAAAAACAGGGTTATATACACACAATACATTTGAATGTTGTTTTTATATACATGAAATAATTGTATTCCTAAGCAGCTATTATTTAGATTAGACTGTAGCATTTACCTGGTTTCAGTTTTGTAACACGTTTATTTTCTCGGTGGACCTTTTGTTACACACTGGGCCGTCAAGTATTTTTGTTAGGCTGTGTGTATTTTAAATTCGTATTATGATGCTATTTTAATTTTTAATTTATATACAGTGTACAGCAGCTACACATTTAGTTAACTAAATTTTGTTTGTTTCACTATTGCATCACGGTAGAGTCAGTAATTCTATGCATTTGTGATTTGGCGACCATTGCTTGGGCTTAACTCTGACCAATTATAATAAGTATGCATATTGTGCTTAATGCAATTGATGTGTTTAAACAAAAGTATATATATTTTTTTTACGTTAAGTTTATCTCATAAATAAATAATAAAATTCTTGAACAAAACAAAGCAAGCAAATTTATGAAAAATAAGTCCATGAGTCAATTATGCTTTAAGTCATAGTTTTGACTTTTAACGGGACTTCTATTTGTCGTATAATTCGCCTAATTAAAGTTAGTCGAGAATATTATGAGGAAAGAACTTTTGACAGCAATTTATATATTATATCCTTACTCGTTATAACAACTGTGTTCATTTTTCAACGTTAACGGCTATCAAATAGTAACATAAACCACGGTGCATCTTCATTTAATAATTGGAAGTTCTGAAAGTCTGGTAGGTATTATTACACAGAGAAAAGCACGTATTTTTGTTTTTAATTTTCCCTCTCTTGACAATTCCCAAAACTGTGTTTTTTTATCGTATCATGCGATAGTATATAATATGCTTGTCTTTCATTCATATAAAAAAGACATTTCATAAATTATGTCAGTGACGTAGGTTGTTTACGGTGAAAGGCAATAATGTTCAAATCAGGCTGATCGCGATGAATTCTATCTTAAAAATTTGAATTTTTTTTCCATCTTTATCTATAAGAGACAAAAAGTTGACTCTAAGCTTATTAGAAAGAGCTTATCAAAATGGTACAAAATAAGAATTTAAAACAAATTATTACATTTTTTTACAATTTAAAAAAAACTGTTAATTTTAGCTAAATTTGTCTTTAGCCGCGCACATCTCTGGAACCGATGAATGGATTTTGTTATTAAGGGTTTTATTAAAATCCCCTTGGCATGTACAAGTGCGATGAAGAGTTTCAGAACATTACCCGATATATTGCATTCACTTTTTTTTTTCAATCCGTAGATTGGTCGAACGATGAAATATTCCTCCATTCATCTCTATTTCATTCACTGCAGAGCTTAAAAGTTGTACATCATAACAAAACACATTTTTTCCATCTACATTTTCATAGTTTTTGAATAATCAATCGCTAAGGAAATCAATTACGCTATATATACGCTAAAAAATTGTCCAAAAATTCAAAAAAAAATTACAAGCCGACCCTGCTTGGCGAGCGGAAAATGATGAGACGTGGAAAAATAAATCCAGCACAAACTTGCACCCACATTCAACGTACATGCTGCTATATAAATATATAGTTATATGATTTGCACAGTTACATACTGCATGTAATATTGTATTAATCTCTTCGATTGGCGTTTTCCGGTAGACGTCAACCCGGAATAAAATAAACACTTGGCTGTTTACTTCCGGTGGCGGCCGCGGCCGAGACCGACACGCCCGGGTTCTCACACCTTAACAGCCAGCTGCGTGTGCGCTCGCAAAGGACCCGTAAGGCGTGTAAATCCTCTCTTCCGGGCCATCGCGCGCGCCTCCGCCTGTGTGTGATATTCCGCTTGATTACTATATTTATCGGATCGTCGGTTAGGTTATTTTCGTATATAATAATATATTACCTACCGGTATGGGATAGGGAAAAAAAAAGTCGAGGGTCGCCGGAAAATAGTGTGCTAGAAAACAATCTGTTTGCCGTTTTGTATAATAATAATAATAATATATTATACCGTGCATAGTTTGCTAACTGTCATTAGCGGCTTGACACGACCGCCACACCGCGCCGTCATTTGTTAGGGTGTCGCCAAAAACCCAAATCGGTCTTGGCCGTACACGTGTAGCAAACATAAATAATTTAAAACGGTGCCCGTACATTAGCCCAACGCTATTCGCTTACCTGTTTATCGACGCTTACGGAAAACGTTGAAGTGTTCACACGGTTCCGAAGACAACTGGCGGAACTGAAAAAAAAATATATATACACGGCTTAGACAATTTGTATGTTTGATTGGGATATTAAACACCAACAAAATCTTAAAGTCTATAAAAGAAATTTGTTAACTGTAATTAGTCCACCTCTCAGAAAAAAAACAAATTTATAATTGAAGTCTATAAAAACTTTCCGAAGGTCTTTTCCGACATTATTTAATACAATAGCTGTTGTCTGTAATATAGTTTTTAATTGGGCCTATTATATCAAAAATAATTTGTTAGATTCTGAGTTCTATATATATGTACACTTAAAAGAAAACTTTTTTTTGTAACTCAACTAACAACGGTTGTCTGCTAACGTATCACGGACCAGTAACTACGGGTAAGTAGCAGGTAAGATTTGTCAATTCACTAGATGTCCCTCGAGGTCTTTCAGTGTTTGCACCAACTTAACGAATCAATTAAGGCCTAGAGATCTCTAAGCTAATCGGTATTTGCAGTGTTCATTGTCTAGTATACAACCCAGCGTCTGTCAACCGGGCACTATAATAATTCATCTACACTTCTCCTTCGGGATTTAAAGTCCCGTATTGAGGTTTATACACTTTTTGTAAATATTTGTTTATAACTATTGTTTTTTTCGTATAGTCTACATAATTATAATAATCCATCCAACGGAGTTTGGAAAATCTACCTAAAGGTCATAACATTGTGTTGGATAATAATTGTATTCAAAGATTGTGATAATTATTTTATTGTAAAATTTTGTTTTTTAACCTAAAGCTCCCTCGATAGTCAGTAGGATCTAAATATATACATATTATTTATTATATAGGTAGTAAGACTTTGGGTCTATAATGGATTTGCCGAGGAAACTTATAGAAACATTTACAAATATTTTTACATACTGAGAATAAATGGTTTGCCAACCGTTTAAGTGTTTGTGTGTTGAGATTTTATTTTAAAGTTTGCCGTCTACGATGAAGTTAATGATGACTTTGATTGATTCTAAATGTCGGTTTAGTGATTCGAACGTAATGTGTTCAGCGAGTTCTAAAAATATTACAGTTTTAAACAAATTATTTGTATGTTTAACGTTTCCTAATAATTTTGAATTCATAACATAAGTGTAATTCTGTACAGACATAGGTACAACATGAATGCGAGCATCCGATTCAATAAGACTGAGATAAATTCTAACGCAACCTTATAGTTTCTTCTTTAGTATCAGCTTAAGACCAAAAACGTTTTAGAAAACACCTCGCGTCCGCCTTTTGGGTCACAGCAATTTTGTCATGCGAGAAATTACCGCAAGATCCATTTACAGGTTTCCCATAAAAACGGATTAACGGCAAAACGGTCACTGAACAGGCCTTCTGATTAATTAATACCGAAAACTCAGTTCAATGCATAGATCACTGCACTATGTGGTTCAATAACCTTGGTTTCTATGGGCTCGGCTGGTCTTACATTAAATAGATATACAATATATATAATATAACGTTGATATATCATATTTTTATTTTCTAGTAGCGCTTTATTAACCCGACAAAGTAATAATTTCAGACTAAATTTAGATGTTATTCAAAATCTCTCGTGTACATGATTTTTTTTTTTACACATGATTACAATACTAAATTGGCTCGATACATTTTT